TCCACCATCATTTCTGGCCCTTTCCTTCACCCACTGTTGGCATCCTAGTCATATTGGCAACAAACAACTAGGCTAGCAGAGATGTGTGCTGGCGCTAGTAGAAACTAGAGAAAACTAAGAAGACCTGTATAAACTGATGCAAAGTGAAGTAAGCAGAACCAAAAGAACATATACTGTAACAACAGAATGTATGCAATAACAAAGTTATAAAGAAAAACAACTTTGAAAGACTTGAGAAGTTTGAACAACCATGCTTCCAGAAGACCAAAGATGAAATGTGATGTCCACCTCCTGACAGAGAAGTGATAGACTCAAGATGCAAAATGAGAAAGACATTTTTTAGACATGAACAATGCAGGAATTTGCTTTGCTTAGCCATACATATTTGCAATAAAGATTTTATTTTTTCTTTTCCCCAATGGGAGTAATTGAGAGAGAAAGAAAATCAATGTTTGTTAACTGAAAGAAAATTAATTAATTAAAAAATAAATATATGTACCCATTCCTTCCACCTCATGTCTCCTCAGTCTTCCCAGGTGTCAGAAGCAACAGACGGATGGAAATATATCCCTCTCTAGGCCAACATCTTGCCTATTTCAAGTGCCAGACTACTTAGACTCTTATTCAAGCACTTAGCCCTAAGGTTATAGCTCGGAGAAGATGATTTTGCTGCTCTATACTAAAGCTCCTTCCAGAGGTGTCTTCATCATCATTGCCACGATCTTTTTTCTCATTCTCATGATAAACCTCTCAAGAATGTAAACACCTGAAAGGGAAGGACTACTCTATTTTTGTCTTTGCATTTCCCAGAGCCTCGACAGTCCCTGGAACCTAATAGGCCTTGATTAAATGCTTGTTGATGGACTGATTATTCCAGGATATTTTGAAAATAGAGGTGGATTTGGAGTCAGAGAAACTACATCTGTGACTTCAGACAATTCACTTAACTCTGTGGGCCTCGGTTTCCCTATCTATAAAACAAGAGGACTGTACTAGAGAAATTCTAAGGTCCCTTCCAATTCTCCATCTATGATCCACCATCCTATCTATCTTTAGTAATAATAATAATAATATTAATAACAGTAATGGTATCTAGCATTTATAAAGCACTTCAAAGTTTGGACAGTGCTTTATAAACAGTAACTCATTTTATCTTCACAACAACCCTGGGAAGTAGATGCTGTTATTATCCCCATTTGTAGACAAGAACATGTAGGCAGAGAGACTAAGTGACTCACCTAAGGTCACTCAGCTAGTAGGTGTCTGAGGCAGGATTTGAACTCAGCTCTTCTTGATCCAAAGCCCAGTACTCTATCTACCTTGCCTCCTAGCATACAGTCTAGTGAATGCATAAGGTGGACACAGACATGTAAAATAAATATGTAAAGTTCCTAACCAGCATGGGGAGATGACTTATGAGAGTCAAAGGGTCTGGGTTTAAAACTTGGCTCTTCATCTTTCTAGCTTTGTGAGCTTAGATAAATCAATGCCCATTCAGTCAATGTGTATTAAGTGCCTACTATGTGCTAAATACTGGGGGACCCAAAACTAAAAAAAAAACATGAAGCTTCCAGTTCACTAGAAGGATACACTATATGGAGATGAGGTTTAAAAAAAGCAATTTCAGGAGGGTGGGAGCACTAGAAGAGAGGATGGGGGGGGTAGAAAGCAGAAAAAGTCTTACATACGAGGCAACTCCCAAGCCAAACTCGAAGGAAACTGGAGATTCTCTGAGATGGTGTGGAAGATTTACATTCCACAGATAGGGGAGAGGGAGGTAATCTGTGCCAGGGCACTAACAGGGAGCTGGTACATCAAATTTTGGCCAGTTTGTCTGGAACATCAACTTTGTGACGAGCAGGAATATGAAATATGTCTGGAAAGGTTGGTGGGAAACCAAACAATTGAGGAGGGATGGAAATGCAAAGCTGTATAGAGTTTATATGGGATCCTAGAGGCAATAGGCGTTGGGAGTAAATTGGAAAGAGACACAATCAGACCTGCATTTTAGGAATATTATTTGGCACCTGTGGAAAGGATAGGCTGGAGATGGGAGACACTGGAAGCAGGAAGAAAAGTCCAGGCAAGAGGTGATGAGGTCCTGAATGAGGGTTATGATTCTGAATTCTGAACGATTAGAAGAATGGTGATACCCTAAAAAGAAATGATTAGCAGAAAGGAGAGAATGATTGTTTTTGGGAAATACACCAGGTTCTATTTCAGACATGTTGATTTTGAGATGCTAATGACACCTGCAGGTGGAGAGGTCCAACAGGGAATGTGGGGCTGAGGCTTTACAGATAAGGAAACAGATTAATGAATGGCCAGAGATTACCCAGCTAGTTCCCAGGTCTTCCATATTTTTTTCCCACTTGGGCCTCTTGGGAACATGTACATGAAGGATAGATAACTGGGGGGGGGCAGGGTGCAACCTGTGATCATGGAACACATTGCAGCCAACTGGCCCTCACAGGGACTGAACCTTTGACCTTAGCTTTATTCTAAGCTAATGTAATGATTTTGTCCATGGGCCTCTTAGAGCTCATCAGCTTGTTCCACACTGACATCTTATGTAGGGAAGACTTGAAAAGATCCAAATATGGTAAATGAAGGCAAAATGCTAATACTAGCAGTAGCTGTGACCTCAAAGCTGTGAAACCTGTCCTCCTTGGCTCAGAATCATTTGGGGCAGTGGGCTCTTTCCACACCCCTTATCACCTACTGTCTTTATCCCCTCCCTCTGCTCCTTTGATGCAAACTACCTGACTTGACACTATCTTTTTGTAGGATGTGCAAAAGGACATTTCAGAGATCTTCTTGGTCATCCCCCTACCCCCCCACCTTCAAGTAGGACTTTAGCCAGAGAAAACAGGACCATAACCTTCAGATACCTCAGGAGCTTGTTAAAATGGAAAGATCACAACTTCTGTAGTCAGAAGGTTAAAATTCTGCCTTTGTCACCTACTACATCTATGACCTTGGGGGATTCACTTAATTCTCTGATGTCTGAAGGACTCTAGTTTCTTTATCTGTAGAATGAAACAGTTGACCATAATTGCCTTCAAGGTTTTTTTCATCTTTAGAAGGAAATTAATTATTAAGTGCCTACTACAAGCCTGACAGTAAGTGTTTTACAAAATTTACCTCACTTGATCCTCACAACAACCTTGGGAATTGCCATTATTACTCTCATTTTACAGTTGAGGAAACTGAGGCAGAGAGAGGCTAAGTGACTTGCCCAATCATGTCACATAAGCATCTGATGTCAAGATCTGAACTTAGCTCTCCCTGACTCCAGGCTTAGCATTCTCTTCTTATTCCACAGATAACTAGCCTCTAAGGTCCTTCCCAGCTCTGTTATATATGAGATCCATTCTAGTGCCACATCTATAATACCTGGATCCCTAGACTTTCTCCTCTAGGTGACAACATCCAAAGCTAACCAGTTTTCCTGGGTTAGGAAGTCTTTCTACTCATTTAACCTTATTCCCTCCTAATGTTTCTCCCCAAAAGGCAAATCTATACTAATCTATACTATGACCAGCTTCTGCCTAAAGACTACAACCATATAACCTGATAGCTCAAAGGGGCCGTAATGATCGTCCAGCCAAGAGATCTCATTTTATCCCTTTTCCCTTAAGTACAAAATAAGGTTACCAAAGGCATGAATTTCTAATGGCAAATTTCTGGTACCTCTACAGTGGAGGAAAATTTGAGGGGTGGTATGGCATATAGGATAGTAGATTGAGAACATGGAAGTCACCTTTGAAGACTTGTCCAACCTCTTCATTTTCTAGATAAGGATACTGAGGCTAAGAGATGTAAGGTGATTTGGCCAGGATTCGAATACAGCTCCTTTGAATCCAAATGCAGTATTCATTTTTCTTGGTACCCATTAAATAGTGCCACACAAGGAACAATAGGCAAAGCTGACTCTGAGAATACAAGTGTGTCAGTGCACGTGCCCAGAGAGAATTTACCTGGGGGCAGCTAGGTGGTGCAGTGGATAAAGCACCGGCCCTGAAGTCAGGAGGACCTGAGTTCAAATTTGACCTCAGACCAATCACTTGACACTTGCTAACTGTATGACCCTGGGCAAGTCACTTAATCCCAATTGCCTAAAAAGGAAAAAAAAAAGAGAATTTATCTGGCCACATGTTAGGACCATTCTCTTTGAGGGGCGGTTGAGTGGAAGAGGGATTATTCTTTCCCTGCTGAGCCTCAGAGATAAGAACTTAGAAAGTGGAAATTGCTAGGAGGCAGATTAAATTTGCTGTGTAGAAAGGCTGCCTACCAATTAAGGGGATGGGGTACTTGAGAAGGGAGGTGATTCCACACCCCTGAAGGTCTCATGCAGAAGCTGGATGATTTGCTTGTCCAGTGTGTTATGGAAGGAATGCTTGACCAATCAATAAATCAATAGCTCTTTATTAAGCACAGTCAGATGTAGAGGTGGGGTGAGATGGCCAATGATATCCCTTCCAACTCTGAGATTCTACGGTTCCGTGACTGGCATTTGTACAAGTTAAAGCCTGCCTGTGCTACAGATAGTGTGATTGCCCCCTCCCCACCTTCCTTAAGTATGTCACTCACCTCTCCTCCTCTGCTCTGTGGGTTGGGGGAGCAGAGAATTATGAAGGAAACTCAAAAGTGGAAGAAGAATGAAGTGAGCTAGCAGGGTCCCTGAGAAAAGGCACAGAAGGGAGACCACAGGATGGGGTACAGGGGTTAGGGAGGCATTTTTTCAGCTGAACTCGGTGTTCTAGGACACACTGACAGAAAGACCTAGCATAGCCCTGGGCTAAACCCTTAAGGATTTATCTGCCCCATATAAGCAGTGGGGGGTGGGGGTGGGGGTGGGGGTAAAGGTGGGTGTGGCCTGGAGAAAACAGCCAGCTATTCTTTGTCCACTCAGATCCTCCAGCTCCTCTGGGTGAGTGGAGACACTTGCGCCCACTCACTGAAGAGGACACTCTTCAATCTCAGACGCCTCCCTGACCATGGGTGACTTTGGTGGTCATATGATCCCGGGCCTTGCCATCTTCATCTTTGGGATCTACCAAGGAGTGCTGACATCGCTGTCGCTGCTCAGGGACCAGCTTTCCCCACACCCTCCCACGAGCCAAAGGACGGGCTGGCTATGGCAGCTACCTGTGGGTGCGCTGCTGAAGGTGCTGTTTGGCACCATCTCATTCCTGCATGAGATCTCAAGCCTTCACGCCACCATGATTGTGACAGACTACAATGACCCGTATTTTAGCATCATATTCCCCATGATGTGGCAGCATTTCACCATGTTCACTGTCTTCATCTTGAGCGGACTCGTGGATCTGGTGAGCCGGGTCTGCCTGGCCAAGAGACGGCTGGGCCTGGAGGTGGCAGCCCAGATCTTGGCAACACTCGTGCTGGTCCCGCTGATGTTCTGTCACCTGTGGCACATGGAAGGGCTGGAGAAACAGAGCCATATCCTCCTCTTGTTTTCCATCTCCCTGCTTGCCTTGGCAATGACCATAGAGCTCTGGGTTCCCAACCAACCCCAGCTTTGGTTAATCAAGACCTGGCTTTTCTTGGTGACTGGGACATGGTTGATGCACATGGCCTTCATGCTCTTCTACCCAGTCACTGCCCGCGCATGGCATCACTACACCACAGAAAACATCATGTTCCTCACCACCTTCTTCTGCTGGCACCTAGTAGCAGGTGCTTTGATTCTAGGGGTCATCTACACCTTCTCTATCCTTTGGCACCAGTACTGTGGCCTGGCCCCAGACTTAGGTGGGAACAATGAGGCTAAGTATCACCTGTGCCTTCCCGAAACTCCAGATGAAGAGCTACAGGAGGCAGAGTTGGAAGGTCACATCCAGAGGACCCTCTTTTTTGCAGAGCCCACCTTAGGTCCTAGAAACTTCAGGGTCAAAGAGTAACTTGGATTCCCTCATACTTCCCTTTTTTCCTGGCTTCTTGCTCTGGGTGTTTCTCTCTCCCATTGATTCCCAAGTGAAGGCAGCAATCCTTCCCATCTATCTATCTAACATCTGCCTGGAGGGGTCGGGGTGGGGGTAGTGAGGTAAGAGGAGGGAGGAATGTAGGGAAGAGGACAAATTGGAAGAAGGGAGGCAGGATAAGGGGAGGTAAAGGAACATTTTAGATTGACATTTATGCTCTTCCTCCAAAAAGGGCTTCCCTATATGTCTCCATTTTTATCCCCTGATGCTCCCCTGGGTTCAGGTCAGGCCAAGCTTGCATGGCCACACCACATTCCAAATTCTTAGGTCCTGACCCTGTACTTTTTATATAATCCCCTAATTCCTGTTTCTTCTTTCTCCCAATCCATATCCACTACGCTTTTAAGGCAAAAATCATCCCCTCTAGGAATGCTTTTCTGATGAGCTTCACTCCATAGTGTTACTCTGGCATTTCACATCCCTTTGGCGTCCGACAAATGGTCCATCTTCTTATTTTGGCCTTTGCTGATACAACTTACAAGTGCTTCCTTCCTGGGTACAGCATTTCACCAATTAGATTGTGGGCTCAAGGGATGGGACTCTCTGTGTTCATTCAACAGTACCTGGTAGAATGTTCCACTCACAGCAAGTGTTCAACAAAGGCCTGTTAGCATTCCTTCATTCCCAGTTTCCCCTAGATAAAGATGGTCTGTAGCACCCCCTCCCAGGGTTGATGGATAGCCCTGTCTCACGTCTTCATTCTACCCAATGCTGTCACAACCCCAAAGCCTGAATCAATTCCCAAACAGGAGGAGAGGTTTATCTAAGTGGTCTTTGCTTCTAGAGTGCCATAAAGCCCTCTGATCTGTGTCTGCACCATCACTGAACCTTCTTGGTCATGGAAGAAGGTGGAGAATGAAAAGGCAGTGGAACTGAAGAGACCTAAGACAAATCTATAGCACAATAAAATTATCCTAGGCTCTTGCAAATAGTGTCTTTGCACTATCTCTCCTCAAATATCTGGGTTTGGGGTCAGATGAAGACTATGAATGGGACTCCTCCTAATTCTCCTTGTTATTTATGCATTTCTGGCCAAGTTGCCTTCATTTTCTCATCTGTAATATGGGACTGATAATTCTCTGATTTTCCTTAGCACTGTTGTGAGAATCCAATAAAGTACTAAACATAAAAGCAATCAAACTATTAATTCTGTCTTCTCAACCTCTACTTTTTGTATTTTGAATCTCTTTCTCCATCTGTTATCCCTCAAGTTTCTGATGTGATCAGTATTTTGCTACATGCCCCAGGATCCCTCATATCACTGCCTCAGCTGGATTTGTCTTTCTCAGAAGCACGCTATGTTTTAAACTTTCCCCGACAACTTCCCCTCTGTCAAAATTCATTTCTCAACAGCAGAAAGAATGCCAGATGTGAGTCAGGGGACCTGGGTTTGAATCCTACCTCTTCCTCCTACTCCCTTGGGAAAATGACTTCATCTCCCCGGGCCTCTGTTTCCTCATTTGTAAAATTAAGGAGAGTTGGACAAGATGACTTCTAAGGTTTCTTCCAACTCTTCTATGATCCTCTCAGTCAGTCATTAAACATTTACTAAGCGTCTACTGTGCGTTCAGAACTGTTTTAAACTCTAAAGACAGAAATAAAGAAAAAAATCCAACCCCACCCTTGAGGAGCTCAGTCTTATAAATATGTACAAATAAGATATATAGAGGATAAATAGGAAGTAATCACTAGAGGGAGGGCACTAGGATTAAGAAGGGGTGGGGAAAGCTTCCTGAAAAAAGTGGGATTTTAGCTGGAACATGAAAGCCAGGAGGTGACAGCAAGAGAAAATGCCTGAAACCACGAGATGAAGCATTTTGCTTAGAGGACAGCCAGGAGGCCAGTGAGCAGCCTGGTGGCACAGTAGATAGACTGCCTACCCTGGAGTCTTGAGGACCTGAGTTCAAATCCCACCTGAGTTCCACTTGGGACAAGCTGAGTCTAAGATGTCTGTCTGGTTCAAGATGTCTAATAGACACCATTGGAGATTCTTGACTGGAGGTCAGCAGAGAAATTAGGGCTGAATAAGGAGATCTGACAATCATCAGATTCTCATCCTATCTCAGACCATCAGAGCTGATGCTTTCTACCAATAAATCCCCACTAACGTGTCCTTAGCCTTCAAGGTATTCTCTCTCTATCAGTGCCCTTCCCTGTAAGGGAACATGTTCCAAGATTGGAAAGGACCTTAAAAATCTTCCTTCGGGTTCAAACCTCTCCATTTTGTAGATTTGAAAATTGAGGCCCAGAGAGATTATGTACGTTTCCTGAGGTCACTCAGGAAGTAATAACAGCGCCAGAATTTGAACACAATTCCTCTGATTTCAAATTCGAGGTTCTTTCCATTGTAATATACATGCTAAGCTGAGCGCATTTTTATGAGGGATTTCCTATAGTCACAAAATCTCACCTTAAAGGAATGATAACATATAGGAAAGAAAGAAAAATGATAGGCAGGTAGAGGAAGGGAAGGGAGTAAGCATTTATATGATGCCCACTGTATGCCAGACATTGTGCTAAGCACTTTTTATAAATGTTATCTCACAACATTAGGAAGTAGTTGATGTTATTATCCCCATTTTACAGTCGAAGAAACTGAGGATAATAGAAGTGAGGTGATCTACCTAAGGTCATACTAGCTGGTAAGTGTCTGAGGTCATATTTCAACTCAGATCTTCCTGACTCTAGAGTTTTCTAGCATTGTACAGCCCCCTATGTAAGATGTCCTAAGTTAGATAGCATTTCAAGGACACAGAAATGACCTCTACCAAGGCAGTTAGGAGTCTATAGCTTAATAGATAAGTCATAGAGAGTTTCTTGAAGCTCAGTCAATCAGCATTTATTAAACACTTGCTGTATGCCAAGCCCAGTGCCCAATGCTTTGCCCAGTGCCTGGCATACAGTAGACATTTAATAAATGTCCACTGATTGACTAGGCACTGAAAATGCCTCCAGGAACTTTAATGATTTGCCCAGGGTCACAAAGGTAGTAAGTCTCAAAGTTGGTATTTGAATGCAAACCTTCCTAACTCCAAATCCAGTACCATTCACTACAACCCTGTTGAATTTATTCAATTGAAGCCTTGCAAAAGATGTGCATTTTCTACCCAATTCCACTAGGGGGTACCATCTTCACACTAGCCTGACCAGAATTTCCAGTCTTCATAAACAAGAGGTGACTAACCCAGAGAAGTGGGGGATGGGAACAGGGAGGCCAGCCCTGGGCTGCTTTGCGGGAATATCCAGAAAGCATGCTATGGGGCTGTTTCCCATTAAACCTTGGGCTGCTCATACAGAATGAACAGAGATTCAAAATAGTGGAATTCTTAGAAACAGGGAGGGGAAAAAACCCATTTGGAATTTCCTTGGGGAAAAAAGTAAAAGCAAAGCAATAAATCCAACCCCAGCCTTGTTTTTCAATCTCCTCAGATTTCTGGTTTTTCTAATGGGTTCTAATAATGTTCAGGGCAAGCCTGGATAATCAAAAGAGATTTATACGTTCACGTGGATGAAAGGGGAAAAAAATCATTAAGTGCCCATAGAAGCTAGGGAAAAATACCTTTTCTTAATCTGGGTAAAATTCTTATTGACAAGTATTGGTGAACTTTATGCAAACCCTGCATGTGAACATCCAGTTAGGCAATGACAAATAATACTAATATTTGACATTTAGATGAGTCTTTGAATCTGTGTTTACAAAGAATTTCAAATATATTCCTAATGAATCCAGGGCCTGGTAGTAGAGGATCCTGGCCAAATACTTGTGGACTGATTGATTACCTCATTTTATCTTTATAACAACCTTGTGAACAATCAATAAGCATTTATGAAGTGCCTACTATTTTCTAAGCACTATGCTAAGTGCAGGAAAATTATGCCTGTTTTTACAGATGAGGAAACTGAGGCAGACAGAGGTTAAGTGACTGGCCCAGGGGTCACACAAGCTAGCAATTGTCTGAGACAGGATTTAGAAAACCAGTGTCTTCTTTACTTCAAGTCTAGCCCTGTCTATTTATAGAATATTTAAAAGATTTGGCCTCTGTACTCGAGGGATATTCATCACAATGAAGGAGGAACCAAAATGATACTTTTGAAGTTGATGAATATCAACTTAATAGTTGTGAGAATCTGGGAAAACCATTTAAACATCTGCCTCAGTTTCCTCATTTGTATAATGGGGATAATGATGTGTCGTTCCCCCCCCCCCCCAACCTCCTATGGTTGTAGCTGTGAAAGCCTGGCAAAGTCACTTAAAAAAAATGGTTTGTCTCCATTTCATCATCGATAAAATGGGGATAATAACGGCCTCCAGGTCTTAGGGTTGTGAGGATCAAATGAGACAATATTTGTTTCTGGCACTTAGTAGGTGTTATAGAAATGCTTATTCCTTTTCCTTCCTTCCCTAATGTATACACAAAATTTACATGTTGGTTCCTTCTTTAGAATATAAGATCCCTAAGGGTTAAGGTTTGTTTTCACTTTTGAACCTCCAGCATTTAACACAGCACTTAGCACTTAAGTAATTCTTAAACGCCTTTGATTAGATTATTTTTTAGGTCTTTACAATTAGATCTCATTTGATCCCCATGACCACCCAGGGAGGTAGGGGCTATTGTTATCCCCATTTTACATTGGAGGAAACCGAGGCCAAAAAGAAGTAAAGTGACTTGCTAGTAAACTTGTGAGGTAGGGTTCAAACTCAGGTTTCCCTGACTCTGAGTCCCACAATCCCTATCTATTGAGGTATTTAGAGTTGGAAGGGATCTTAGATGCTATGTAGTTTTAGCTCTTCATTTTACTGATGGGGAAACTGAGGCACAAGGAGATTAATGACCTCCTCAAGTAACTGCTTAAGGAAAGATGGTAGAGGAACCTAGGTGTTCACTCCAAATCCACACAGGCTAAGTAATTTCCCAATA